AACTTAATACATTCTAATTGAGTGTGGGTAATAGTTTAATTCAATCTTCAACCATAAGCAATTTAAGCATATAAAAGTTCCTTATCCATTAAAAAAAAGTTTTTTTTTGGCAACTTTTACTTACATTAAGAGAGAGGGAAAAATAACACAATTTTTTTTTTTGGCAAAAAGGTAGGAGAAGTAGGTGAGCTGTCTGAAATATTTCAATGGAGAGGAGAAGTTCCAAAAGGGCTGCCAGATTGGAAAGAAGAAGACAAGACTCATCTTGGAGAAGAGCTTTCTGATGTTCTGCTCTACCTTATTAGGCTGTCTGATATATGTGGTGTTGATCTTGGTAAAGCTGCTCTTCGTAAAATTGAGCTGAATGCACTTAAATATCCAGTCAATCTCTCCAAAGGCTCATCCAATAAGTACAGTGATACAAACACTAGTAGTAATAGCAGCTCCATTAATGGTGGTGATTAGATCTGGTTATGTATTGGGGCTTTCTTGTTTTTGGCCATGTCTTTAACTTTTCTTCTTTGTCCGAAAAATTGAAAGTTTAGGTCTTTTGGGGTGGGGTGGGGTAAGTGTAATGTATGGCAGAAGATTTTCTTGAATGGGGTTTGATTTGCTGTGGTTTTTGGCATTTATGTATCTCTTGAGAGTTTTTGTGGCTGTTTGGCAGATGAAATGAATCCATCACCTTTAGTAGATATACACTCATGTGTGTGTGTGTGTGTGTGTGTGTGTGTGTGTGTGTGTGTGTGTGTGTGTGTGTGTGTGTTTTCATCTTTTGTTATCTGTCTGTTTTTTTCTTCACTTTGACAAACCTTATTTACTGCTCTTTGTCCTGTTTCTGTATTGGACCCAAATAATTGGATCAACAAGTTTGCCTCAATTCTTTCGTGGGCTTGTAAAATTTTAAACAAAGGGAAAAAGACAGTTTTTGTCTCTTAAGTTTGCACCGGTTTCATATCTAGTTATTTGGCTCCCTTATGTTTCAAAAATTCGACACTTTTAGTCTTTCTAGTCAATTTTCCGTTAGTACATGTAGAGTCACTCATATTGTGTGTGGTGTTTTCACCTTTTGTTATATGTCTGCATTTTTCTTGACTTTCACAAAACCTTATTTACCACAAAGTCTAAACAGAAAGGTACCACCTCCACTGTGATCCTGTTATAAATAGAACTCAAGTCAGTGGTAGAGGGTCAAGTCAGCCGTGTACGGCGACATTTGACCCACGATTGGTAGTGATTATGATAATAGCCCAACCCAAAAATTTAGAAGCTCATGGGCCACGACAGTTTTACAGGGAGGTGCAATTATCTCAAGCCCATGACTAAATT